CGACAGGTTTCAGGTCCAGTCTTCTTCTGCCAATCCGTCTCTGAGAAGCTGCTGCAGACTCACGTCACTCCTCCTCTGGACGGCTGCACCTACCTGGGCCTGGACTCTGGAGCTCCGCCCTTCCAGGTACCTTCCCCTCATCTCATTACATCATTCTTGGCCCCTGCCAGTGCAGATGAGAGACAGAAGATCAAGTTTTATGAAGAAAAATATCTATAGTTGAGGAATTATTACTCTACAATACAATTATGAACCTTTTCATGTCAAAAAACAATCAAAGCTTGACACTTAATACCTAATAAATGTCAAAAATAGACAAAAAATCCTTATAACCTGATGCATAATTCTGTTTGTCTCCTTCAGTTCAATTCACTTCAGTTTAATTATATAGTGCCAATTCACAACACATGTCATCTCAAGGCACTTTACAATCAGAGGCGTAGTCAGAAAATTTTTATAAGGGTGGCCCGGCAATAACCAATGTACCGTACACTGAGGGGTGGCCAAAAGCGGATAGGCGCCAGAACCTCAGGGTCAAGCCAACGATAAGACTAACTATACTTTCCTACATCCTTTGCTAACAAATAGACGCATATATTTAAACATCCATTCTTTCTAGATAAGAGGTGTAGTGGATAAAATACCTTCAGGTTTGAGTTCTGGGGCAAACGTCTTTTCCATCGTCATTACTTACCTACTTTTTTTTTTTTTTACTTAATTTTTATTTGAATTTTTGCAACTTACACAGAAACATAAAAGCCCAGATTCAGTCTGCTGCTCTATACGGTATACTTAAAAAAGAACAAAACTTTAAAAGTATATAAAACCAGTTGGGACTTACAAGTAGAGTAGGTCACATGGTTAAACATAAGTAACTTACAAACATAAATATAGTTAGTAATTAAATAAGCAGCACAAATGGAAATAACAAAAATTAAATAGAAAACAATAAGTAAAGATAAAAAAAGAAAAAAAAAAAGAAAAAAAAAAAAAAGAAAAAAAAAAAAAATATATAGAGAAAAAAAAAAAAGAGTTTTATATGCGAGAATTATCCTGCCATAATGCAAGAGCACATAATTTCAATTTCAGAAAAGAATTTCATCTTCTTGCACTCAAAACTTATAATGCTCACACTCAAAACATGCGCTCTCTCTCAAATATTTTCTCTTCTCTCTCAAATCTTTGTTTCTTCTCTCAGATTTAATGCTTCTTGCACAGATATTTTCTCCTCTCGCTTGCCTCCTTCTCTTTGCGCACAAACCGCGCTCTGCTCAAGTCTCAGTTACGCTTGCAAACCCGTAGGCTCTGCTTGCGGTTTTTCTTTGCTCTCTCTCAGATTGGATCGGATCGTCGCCTAGCAACCTTTCCAGCCAATAGAACGACAGCCTCGGAAAGGGTGCGCATGTCTAACTCTACTGAGTGTGCCTGTGATAAACCTTACCGACAATAAATTGGCTTTTTAATTTAAAAGCTATTAAAATAAGAAGCTGAAAAACAACAACAATCAGGAAAATAAAAAAAGGAAATAATAAAGAGCGATTCAAGAATCACCAATGAAAAGTCACTTAATTTCTGCTGGAGGCAGAATTAGCATCTGCCCTGACTAGCAAACCTTTATTTTTTATTTTTTTTTGACGGGCAACTCTGAGGCTGGAAGTTTTCTGTTCACATCACGTCACGTCTGAAAACGGATAGCTTTTAAATTAAAAAGCCAATTTATTGTCGGTAAGGTTTACCACAGGCACACTCAATAGAGTTAGACAAGCGCTCCCTTTCTGAGGCTGTCGTTCTATTGGCTGGAAAGGTTGCTAGGCGACGATCTGATCCAATCTGAGAGAGAGCAAAAAAAATCCGCAAGCAGAGCCTCTGGGTTCGCGAGCGTAACTGAGACTCGAGCAGAGCGCGGTTTGTGCGCGAAGAGAAGGAGGCAAGCGAGAGGAGAAAATATCTGTGCAAAAAGCATTAAATCTGAGAGAAGAAACAAAGATTTGAGAGAGAAGAGAAAATATTTGAGAGAGAGCGCATGTTTTGAGTGTGAGCATTATAAGTTTTGAGTGCAAGAAGATGAAATTCTTTTCTCAAATTGAAATTATGTGCTCTTGCATTATGGCAGGATAATTCTCCCATAGTTTTACTGCATTAATATGGTCCTGGCCGGTTTCCACCTATTAACAAATATGTCTTTTTGAAGCTTCAGGCAATAAGTTATTTGTTCCATATGATAGATTTCCCAAACCGTTTCAATCCACATTTTGTATGTTGGCGGCTCAGGCTTCAACCATACAACTGTGATACATTTAAGAGCCGCAATCAGTAATATTTGTAGAAGGTACTTTTTTCCTCTTCCAGTAATGTCTTTGGGTAATAATCCCAAAAGTTACTTACCTACCTTTATCAATAATAATTCTGCATGAAATTGATATTTACAAGTACTAATACCTGCATAAATTGATTATTAAATATGTTTTTATTAAAATAGTTATTTATCTATGATTTCACTAAATACTCCTAGATGACTTGCAGAGACACATCGTTTTCTCTTTACCCCATAAAACACAAAATCTAGTTCAGAAAAGAGCAGTAATTCTGTACTTATCATCTTTAATGTCAGTATATTGATGTGTATAAATAACCACAGAGTTTTTGTTGTCAAGAAATGATGAATACATGAAAAAATAGAAAGTAATATATGAAAAATTAAAATGAATATTCCACTTGAGAGTATTAATGCTGCCACCATTTGTATTAGAGGGGAAAAATGGTAGGGGTGGCCACAGGGGTGGCCAATGGTTGGCTAAGGGTGGCCATGGCCACCCCTGCCCCCCCATCTAGCCCCGCCCCTGTTTACAATTCAACCAGATCATAGAGTCAGATTGGTTCAAAGACTGCTCCCTGGGCACTGCACAATGGCAGCTCACTTCTCCTAAAGGGGATGGGTTAAATGCAGAGGTGAATTTCTCCAGTGTGACATCAATAAAGTTCAATTATTATTTTTTATATCATTATTAAATCTGGACTCTCTGGTTTACAGGACTGGAAATGTGAAAGGTGAAGTCAGAGAAGATATAAACCGATTTAATGGCGAGCCTTCGAAGTTTCTAAAAGACATAAACAGAAAATGTATTAAGTACAAAATTGAATAAGAATAAAGAAAAGAAATGGACATATAGAGAGCAGGGCGTTACATAAAATGTCAGTTTTTTTATTAAAAGGTTTTATCTAAAATAATAGATGTTCGGCTAATTAGTGGTTTGAATGTGAGCTGGCAACTTACAGCCTTAATGGATTCAGGAGCTTTGTTGCTCTGTCCTCAGATCTCGCTCTTCTTGGACCTGTTGAAGTGTCTCTGCTCAGATCTGACCCACGATCAGTTTGTTGGCCAGGACCGAGCTGGCTGCAGTTCCACAGCCGGCCCACAGGGAGCAGCAGTGAGGACAGGCAGAGCAGAGCTTTGGAGGATCCTCAGAGGAGTTCCACTCTCACTGGGTTAGCTTCTGTTTCTATGATTTTTCTCCTGCTGAAGTGGTTTTTAATAAAAGCTGTTAAAAGAATCTAAAAATGTTGAAAAACTTGTTAGTGGAATCTGTAGATATTTAGCCTGAAGTCAAACATATGTTGAATTTTGTCAATCCCACAGTGTACGTCGCCGGCGGTCGCTATGACTACATGACTCTGTCCGGGAAGCAGCATGTCCACCGTCTGACCTCTGATTGGACGGTTAGAAACACTCTGTCTCACATTCAGGTGATGCGTCTTCCACAACCTAAACTGAATTTAAAGCAGGTTTAGATAATGGCTGAATGCCCACAGCAGATCCTAGTAGGACTCAACGGGACCTTAAAGACCACAATGAAGAAATGCTTTGTTCAGTTTTAGCAAACGCTTTACTAATCCAGACCGACCACAGAGTCTGCTTTAATCCCTGCAGACGGAGAGCCTGCTCAGTGAGGGAGCTCGCATCATCAACAGCGTCCTGGATGGAGATGTTGCTGTGGCGACCGGGGCTGTTTTGCAACACTGCCACCTTCAGGTCAGATACAGACTGAGCTTATTATTATTAACACTGCGTCCCTCAGGTAGAAAAAACAAACAAAACTTAACTAAAATAAAAGATTTAAAATTAAAAAGCATTTTTGAAACTAAGCAACAACACAAAAAATCAAAGGTTAAACTAAAAAAATGAATGTGAAATGATAAAATCTAAGGATTTTAAATTGAAGCATATTTTTGAAACTAAGAAAGAAAAAATGTAAAACAAAAAAATTAAATGAAAAATTATTCGACGATATAAAAAATTAGAAACTATAATATTATTTGGAAAGATTTAAAAGCCATAACTGTGAAAAAGGATTTGTATGAGTGTCAAAAGAAAAAAAACATGTGCCCATAAAGAGAATATCTTCTTTTCTGTAGATAAAAAGTATTTTATGTTCTCTGACCGTCATCTTCAAAGAACGGGTTAGTTTGCTTCAGTTTCTCTTTCCTGAATTACTCCAGACTGCTGTTTTCAGTCATAATCCCTTTAAAAACAATAGTAAGTGAAAATATGTATCCAAAACAGTGAAGCTCCTGTTAAAGTGCATTACTATGTAATAAAGTAGCTCCTTCTACTAAACATTTTTCATTAATTGAAGAGCTTTCTCCAGTATGGAAGAGGATTAGGGCTACTGGAAAAAAAAAAAAGTTAACTGAATTTTTTTAATTTTATTTCAGTATAGTATGGGGGAAAAGTCAGAATTCTGACTTTAATGTCAGAATTCTGACTTTAATGTCAGAATTCTGACTTTTTTCTCAGAATTCTGACTTTATTCTCAGAATTCTGACTTTTTTCTCAGAATTCTGACTTTTTTTATTGTCAGAATTCAGTCAGAATTCTGTGATTAAAGTCAGAATTCTGAGAAAAAAGTCAGAATTAATCTCAGAATTCTGACTTTTTTCCCATGTTAAACTGAAATAAAATTTAAAAATCAGTTTACTTTTTTTTTTTCAGTGGCCCTAATCCTCTTCCGTAGTCCATAGACTTTATTGATTTTTATGGAATAATGTCATCTGTGTCCAACAAAGGCTGAGTCAGTAGGTAAATACAAAGGAGTCATCTTAGTTCTCACCATATTTCTACAAACGTTGTTCTTTCCTGAAGATACTGCTGAATGTTGATCCGTTGGTATTTTGAAGGTTTAACAGCTGAGAAGCTCTAATAGATCAGGTCTGTTCTTAGCTCAGGCCTAAAAGACATATCCTGTGTCCTCTGATGTCCGTCAGGGTCCTCTGGACGTCCCATCAGGCTGTTTGCTCTCAGGTCTAGAAATCTCGACGTCGACGTGCATCAGGCGGCTCAATCTTAGCAGTGACATCATCATCCAGGGCCATCGGATCGAGCTGGGGGAGCTGAAGCTAACTGTGTACACGGTGACGGGCGCCAACGACGATCTGCAGGTAAACCGCAGCAGGTGCTCTTTCTGTGGGCCCCAGGTGGATCACATGGTTGTCATGGAGACAGCTGATTGAAGAAGACTTCGTTTTACGTTTCTTTTGTCTTTTAAGCAAAACTGTGTAGCTTTCAGCCACTACGGGCGCTAGATCTGTAACCTCCAGGTTTACTGCCCTCTAAAGGCCATTGGCAGCACTACATAAACCAGTCTGTGTTCTGGTTCTGGTATCAGACAAAGAACAGAGAACCAGAAACTTGTCTGATAGGATGAAGGTCTGCTCCCCGGGCGCTGCACAATGGCAGCCCACTGCTCCCCAAGGGGATGGGTTAAATGCAGAGAGTTAATTGTGTTGCTCTGTACTTGTGACAGTGTAATTAGAATAAAGTTTAATTTTAGCTTAGTTAGCTCTGGGGTTTAAGGGGAGCTCAGGCTGATGGAACACGGCACTCTGGGTCACATGACCCATTCAGGGACCGATCAGAACCTCTGAGGTCACAGAGGAGAGTTTATTAGAACAGCAGCACTGAGGAGCATCGATACGCAACAGGAGATGAAGATTTACCTGAAAAATCATTCAATGTCACAGATTAAATGATTTATCTGAAGATCAATTAATATCTCACATTTAGCTGATTATTGGGTCAAATGTTACAGTGTTCATTTGAAAACCTCTGTTTTCTAAAGTTGCGCATACACTGCGGTATTTTCAATTGTTCCATAAAGCTACAGCTCAAACAGTACAATGAAACCGCAGAGTTTAGAAGTTCACAGCTTCCGATGCACGTTCTCACACTGTGCAACCTTACGATTCCTGATCGGGAGGTGGGTGTGAGACGCTGATCGCCCCTTGTTACCCCCTGTACACTACATGACACACATTCAAGTCGGCCCGATCAAATAAATTCTTGCACGGCTGGAGAATCGGACGGAAAAGGGCAAAATAAATCGTACAGCGTATGGCAGGCTTAAAGCTAGATGTATAATTACTATAATCACATCCGCCCCACGTTCTCCTCCTCAGGTGTCCCTTGACGACAGCAGGGCCTCCTTCCTCAACCAGAGCTGGAAGGTTTTCCTCAGCTCCTCAGGAATAGAGTAAGACCCAAACTTTTCCGCTCAGATCGTTTTCCCCAAAGCTTCAAATTTCAAATATTAACACACTATTCCTCCCAATCTCTGCCTTTTTTTTTTTCCGGCACTTTAACCCCGCCCCCTTTTCTCCCCAGGCCAGAGGAGCTGTGGGTGAGGGGCGAACAGCGCTCCCTGCTGGAGGCTCGGCTTTTTCCAGCCCTCCACCCCAGAGGAGGCGCTGTGGGTCTTGAGGGAGGTGTTGGCTGGCTGCTGGGGGGGCCAGGCTGCCTGCAGAGGTGGAGGGAGGCATGGAGGCTCTCTCTGAGGGAGGTGCTGTCACTCACCCACCAGGAGGCGGAGCTTCAGTGGAGGGAGGAACTGCAGTTTCTGGCGGGGAGGAGGAGAGTGACGGACACCCTGCGGAGCCGCACCGACGTCTGTTTGCTGCCTTGCTTCAGGGCAGCAGTGCACGGGGGGCAGCATGAGGCGCTGCTGGACACTCTGGACAGCAGTTAGTTCTCATTTTTTCATTTTTAATCTGTTTTACATCCCAGGAGAACCAGAAGCTGATCAATTTTATTCTGGTTCTAGTTGCTGCTGGAAGCGTGGATCAGGGGGAGGAGCCTGGAGCACAGCTGGGCGTGGCCGCCCGCTGTCTGTCCTGCATCGCTGATGTGCTGGTGTGCATGGCAGGGGGGAAGGGGGGTCTTAGGAGCGGTCCAGCTGCTAATGAAGCCTGGAGCCCAGCATACTTCCTATTGGAGGAGGGGGACCTGAGGGGAGGAGTTTATGCTCTTGCTGCACAGCGGCAGCACTGGCTGAGCAGGTGGGAGCTTCTCTCCTTCTTTTCGCTTTCCATCGTTGTTTGATGAATTCTCACTTCTCATTCTCATTTACTGCCCCCTACAGGCCCGACTTACTGGTGCGGGCGGCGCGGCACTATGAGGGCGCCGGGCAGGTGCTGCTGCGGCAGGCTGTGATGTCATCACAGAAGTTCATCTGTATTGGGCAGGGGGAGGCCCCGCCTGTGGGGGAGTGGCAGGAAGTGGAGTGTCCAGCCAGACTGGACCTGGCAGGTGAGAACTGGTCCAGATTTTCTGACTGCCTGTTGCCTTCAGGTGGCGCTGCAGGCGTTGGACAAGGCCTGTTCAGCTGCTGGTGTGAAGCACCTCTGACCTTCAGGTGTTTGTGCTCCAGGCGGCTGGAGCGACACGCCTCCCATTGCCTTCGAGCACGGCGGATCGGTGACCAACATCGCAGTGAAGGTCGATGGGAAACGGCCTATCGGAGCCAGAGCCCGTCGCATCCTGGAACCCCGCCTCCTGCTGGTAAGCTGCAGCGGCGGCGCTTCCACGGCGATAGTCTGTGAGAGTCTGGACGAGCTGAGGGACTACTGCCAGCCTCACGCTCCAGGTAGGGCCCAAGGGTTTACTGGTTACACTGGGAGAGCCACTGGACACTGACTGTTGCTGTCTCTGCTGCAGGAGCTCTGCTAAAGGCCATCTGCGTGTGCAGCGGCCTCGTATCTCTGTCCTCGCAGCATCCTCTGGAGCATCAGCTGTTGCAGAGGTGGGGAGGCGGGGTGGAGCTGCACAGCTGGTCAGAGCTGCCAACCGGATCCGGACTGGGTGAGAACCAGTAAAACCAGGACCGCTACAACAGAGGAAAACGCTGATGCGTGATTTCCTGCAGGGACCAGCAGCATCCTGGCGGGGGCGCTACTGGCAGCCATCTACAGGGCTACGGGCCGAACCTACGACACCGACTCCCTGATCCACGCCGTCCTCTACCTGGAGCAGATTCTCACCACAGGTCGGCGTTCCCTCTGCTCCCACGCCCTTCCTCTTCCTCTACGTCTTCTTCATCACTTCCTGCTTCACCAACAGGCGGCGGCTGGCAGGACCAGGTGGGAGGCTTGGTGGGCGGAGTCAAAGTGGGTCGCTCCAGAGCATCCTTGCCCCTGCAGGTGGAGGTGGAGCGCCTGAGTCCTCCTCCTGAGTTCCTGGCCTCTCTGGAGCAGCACCTCCTGCTGGTTTACACCGGAAAGACTCGGCTGGCCCGAAACCTGCTGCAGGTCAAACATCTGCTTTACTCCTCTCCATGAAAACCGCGCTCTCTACTTTCTGAGCTCCTCCTGGTCTCCAGGATCAGAGCTGCTCAATCTGTTCGAACCTTTACTGGTCTCTGCTCAGCCTCCCAATTCCAGCTGCTTTAAATCCAGTTTGTGTTGTGCAGGACGTGGTTCGCAGCTGGTACAGTCGTCTGCCTTCCATGGTGCTGAACGCCCAGCAGCTGGTGTCTAACTCTGAGGAATGTTCCAGAGCCTGTTCAGAGGGTGGGTCACCAACTGGATCTCTGCATTTCCCATCATGCCTCACTAACAGAGCTGGTTTTCCTTCCCTTACCAGGTTCTCTGTCCAGGCTGGGTAAGTGTCTGGACCGCTCATGGCAGCAGAAGAAGCTGATGGCTCCTGGATGCGAGCCGGCATCCGTCAGAACCATGATGGAGGCTCTGAGGCCCCTGGTCCTGGGTCAGAGCCTGGCGGGGGCCGGAGGAGGCGGCTTCCTGTACCTGCTGACCAAGGAGTCCCGACAGCAGGAGGCAGTTCTGCAGGTTCTCAGAAACACAGCGGTGAGACGAAAACCGAACAGATAAAAGCTTCACTGCTGATTTATTTGATTTATTGACAGCAACTGGTTCAGAAAAAAATATTCTGAAGGTCCAAAGGAGCCTTTTATCATCTGTTACCCGGGAACAGAATCCATCATGGATTAAAAAACATATTTCAATGACTCTGATTTAGCCCCATTTACAAAGAACCAACCAGGGATCGGACAGTTGAGAAGGGATGAATAAATCACCGACTCCAGGCTGGGAAATAATAAATCTAAACATCAGCAGCAAAAGCAGGATAACTGATAAAAGTATTTTAAGGAGAGTTAAACTTTGTTTAATGCGATCCGGTATTAAGTTAAAACTCCAGGAGAATTTCAAAACACAGCACAAACCAAAAGAAGCCGACAAGATCAACAATAAAACCCTCAGAATGAGATCTGAGGGGATAGAAAACTCACTGAATTAAAAAAAAGCTCATTTTGGGGAAAAATGGTGAATGAAAGATGAAGGTACTGCTCCCCCCAGTTCAAGCGCTGTAGAAGTACTACTACTTTTACTAGGTTTTAAATTCTTGCTTCTTTCAACCACCTGTCTGCATTTTAAGAGAGGACATTTTTCTGGATATAGACCAATATATAAAACAGCTGCAGTTCAATATTTTATTTTACATTTTGAACCTCGTTTCTCCATTTTGATTATTTATTTGTAGGAAATCTCAGAATTCTGAGA